TTTTGTTACATTAAAAGTTTTTGTGAATTTAAAAAACCAGTACTAACTTTAAAACTACGTAAACCAGTCAGGAATGAGGTTAAAACTTTTTTGGGTTTAGAGCAAAAACCATTCAACACATTGCAACATAATCAGGAATAGACAAATTAATTTTTTAATTCCAACAAAACGATAGAAAGAAAAACCAACAAACATTGAAATAATCAACCTATTTAAAGTGAATAAAATTTTATTTCATTCTTAAATACAAAATCTGTACTAAGTTCAGTACAAAAATACACTTCCAAACAACTTTCACCACAAACAACAAACAGTAGTAGTATGAAAGACAAATATGCATACAATTCCAACTCTTACGATAAAAAAAATTTTTTTTAAAGAATATAACTTCTTAACAAAGAAATCCTACACAAATCGTGAATTAATTATGGCCGATTTTATGATGGTTTTTTTTTACAGATATTTTGGTGATAAGTGAAAGAAAGGTAAAATTTTGAGAAATTTTGCTACAGGTGGCCGGTTGTAGCATTTTAACAGTGGCCATTTTTCAAAAAATTAGACGTTTTAAACGATTCAAGAAAATTTTTTATTTTGAAACATTTCTTGAAATATGGTAAAAATGATAAGGTACAATTCGAAAAGAAAAATAATTCTAAAAAACGAGCGTGAAATAAAGTCGTTTTCAGAATATTCTGAAACATTCATAACTTTATTAAAAAAAATAATATCAATATGCATGGCAATTGAATGCCGACGAGCAAACGATATTTATTCGTTGTTTGTTACATTTATTCATCCGGTGGCAACAGTTAATTTTGTTCTATAGTGTCGAGTTATTAAATAAAATTTTATCATTAAACAATATTCCTAAATTTGTAAAACCAAGCCTTCATTTATTAAGTTTAAAATTATGAATTAAAGACCATAAAAAACAAGAAAAAATAAAGGTATGCAAACATTACAGATGTCACGTCGAAGTTTTTATTTTTTTTCCACATAAGTTAAATCACGAAGGTATAACACGCAGGAATAGCTACAACTGTTAACTGATAGCATTGCTACGTTGCGATCATAATTATGTAGTATTTTTTATTTTATCTAGAATGAACAGTGTCATTAAATTATTAAAATCGGCGATTTCAGACACCTGTTTTGTTTAAAATCGGTGATTTTATTAACAAACATTATTCTAGATAAATAAGCATAAAATAACTAATAATAACGCGAATAAAATTACACGCAACTGAGATATAAACTTTCAATGCTTGTAATTTACTAATAAATTTAAATCAGATCGAAAATGTGCATAAATATCCATAAAAAATATCAAAATTACAATGCACCATTATCCATGCATATAAATATATCAATGTATAATTGCATGTAATAGTAATAATAGTAAATAGTACGTTTGTATATTTTCTTTTAAAACAAGAAGCAATTCGAAACATAAGTATAAAATGCTTTTTGAAAAGCAAAAAAACAACAAAAATATACAGGAATATTTTGAGTTAGATTATGTTTATTCTTTGGTGCAATTATACTGCTAAAAATTGATAAAGTTTGCATTTTTGAAAAATATTATTCCATATAAAATAAAGAAATGCATTTACATATATATGAAAAAAATTTTAACTTTTTTAGATGCGATAATTCTTACAAATGTATGTTAAACTCATTCTTGATAAATATTCATAGAAATGCCAAATAAAAAAAAGCATTGATATATTAATATCGAATATTTTAAATCAATGTTTAAAGTTATAAATAAAAAATTATTAAAAAAAACTTAAAACATAAATATTCTGCAAATAATCATAAAAAATATATAGATAATTTTTTAATGCAGAGTAAATATAAACAGATCTAGGCACAATGCATAACATCGTAACAAACGCTTTGATTAGCGTAGAGATTTCGAAAGGACCTTTTCTATTAGCTTACAAATTTATAAAAAGCAAAATACACATTTATCACAATGATAATAGGCTAAAAAAATATGTACATATAATTTCTAATGCATTTTCAGAAAAAATAATAAAAAGCAGAATATTATAAATTCAGAGTGGCGACCCCAATTGGAAGACGTGCTTGCTAAAACTTTTTGCAATTTTTTAAACATATTATTATAACTTTGCAAATGCCATTTTTTTTTACTCCATATAACAGATAAAGATATGTTTTGAAGCATTTTTTTTTCAATAATAAAAACTATTATTTTACTTGCTTTGCACGCTGTCATTTCATCAAAGAGCTCCTATACACTCAGTTTTCACTCAATGTTAAGTATTAGAATTTAGCCAAGTAACTAATTTTGCAGTTTTGACTCAACGAATCGACAGTTAAGTGTTCGAATTTAGCCAAGTAACTAATTTTGCAGTTTTGACTCAATGAATCGACAGTTAAGTGTTCGAATTTAGCCAAGTAACTAATTTTTCAGTTTTGACTCAATGAATCGACAGTCAAGTGTTAGAATTTAGCCAAGTAACTGATTTTTCAGTTTTAACTCAACGAATCTACAGTTAGAATTTAGCCAAGTAACTAATTTTGCAGTTTTGACTCAATGAATCGACAGTTAAGTGTTCAAATTTAGCCAAGTAACTAATATTTTTTTATCGTATTGTATTAATACTAGATCACCCAAGGAAGTCCTTTTGACTGCTTTTTCATTTGCAAAAAAATTTACGAATAATAATGCATAAATATTTTTTTTCTAAGAGAAGTAAATTTTTTCATTGTTAATATTTACTAACAACTTGTTATATAACTGCAAATAATATAAAAAATAAATTGCACAAATTTCTTTGCACATTAGTTATTCTTTCACAATGAATTTTTGACTGCTTTTGGGCAATATAGGTATATACTAAGTTTCAGACTTTCTCAGGGTGCGTAGCCAAATTATTCAACAAAAAAAGCACTTTTCAAGCACTCAAAAAATATTTTTAAGCACTTTAAAAATATTATGATTAGGCAGGGTTGGAAAGTTTTTGACAATTGACGGTTTTAACTTGTTTTAACCGTCATGACAAAACAAAAAAAAAACCTTTTGACATTGTGTTTGACAACTGTCAAAAATCATGAAATTTTGAATCATGTGAAACGAACGGCGTTTTTTCATACGCTACGGAATACAATGCACCGAAATAGATTGGGGTTGAATTAATTGTGAAAACGTTGAATAGAACAATGTGAACCGTGTCTTTTTGCATAATTCGAAGCGAAAATCAACATGGTAGAGGAAAAATCTCATTTTTAAAAAGAGAAAATGAAGCACTTTTTAAAAACACCCAATGAAAAAAAACACCTTTAAGGGCTTTTTAAAAACGCTACGCACCCTGTTTCTAGTGTTAAGTTTGTTATTAAATAAAAATGCTGTTCTATGTCTTAAAAATAAAGACGATAACAATGAGTTCAAGTGAAGGAGTTCCGCTCATATGTGTGCTGAGCAATACTCAATAGGGTCGCTCACAATTTTTGTAAACAGGAGCCTCACACCAAAAAATTGAAGAAATCTGCCCAAGCAAAAATTTTATCTTGGTCCCAGCTAGGCTCTAAATATATANCCAAGTAACTGATTTTTCAGTTTTGACTCAATGAATCGACAGTTAAGTGTTAGAATTTAGCAAAGTAACTGATTTTTTTTACTGTATTGTATTAATACTAGATTGCCCAAGGACTGTATATTGACTGAGTAATGAATATAAAATATAGTGTGAAACTGACAATTTCATATAGGGCTGATATCGGAAAATTACGGCCATTTTAATCCGTATTGAGCCAAGATTCGGGAATACTTGTCCAAGTTGGGCCCAAGTTATTTTGCTGCCTGAAATCTATGATAAAATCCATTTACTTTTTAAGTTGAAATGAATGCCATGGACTAATCGCAAACAAAAGACTCTTTTAAAGAGTTTTATGGTTTTCAATTAATGCTTAAGTTTAATCATCTTTGCTGCTTCTCACTGAATAAAAATGAAGAAATAGATCGGCGAAAAAAAACTATCACCCTCTTTAAGCACTTCTTTCAACGATTGAATTATTAGATAGTATGAAAAGACTACGAAGGCACATCAAAATTTGTTACGTTTTTGTAGTCTCAAATAGCCTAAAACATGGAATAAACATAGTACAGTCGAACCTCTATTTAACGATGTCGCTAGATCCAGTTAATAAGTTCGTTATATGGAAAATTCGTTAAATAGGAAAGCACCTTTTGAAATACTTAAACGACACAAAACAAGTTTTAAATTCATAAACACTGGACATCATTAAAATAGCAATAATAGATACACCTTTATCTTGTTAACTAATATCTACTATTTATTTTATAAATCTTAATCCTAAAAGAAATCTGCATGGAAAGCAAGAATAGAGCAAAACATTATCCAGTGTTACACAATCATGCTGCATACATTTTCAACTAAAAAAAGCTAAATGCATATAATTATAGTTATTATAAAAATAATTTTAAACATACATTACCACATGCGTTTCTTAAGTTTAACGGCTGCTGATAAAATCCGTTCATTTTGTCATTTATGTTAGAGTTTTTCGTTTGAAATGCGAACTAAAAGAGGAAGTGATTTTACTGCTTTCTCTGAAAGTTAAGGGGGGCTTCGAAAATCAATTCAAGGTCATTTCCTCTATAAAGTGTGTTAACAAGTTTAAAATGTTCAGAAATATTTTGGGAAATAGGGAAAGTGGATCTCAAAGAAAGAAAAGTTCGTTCAATAGAAAATTCACTTGGCTATTTGGGAGTTATTGTACGCAGAAATTTCCAAAATGTTCTTGGTTCCTCGAAAAAAAATAGCGAAATAGAGAAATTCGCAAAATGGAAGTTCGTTATATAGAAGTCCGACTGTAGACGTATGCTTTGATTTTGAAAGGGGGAGATTGAAAGAATAACCAAAAGAGGGTGGGTGAATGGGTAAAAACAGGTAAAGAACTACTTGTATAAGATTTTCATGAAAGTAAAAATATGATTTTTTTTCCTTCTATTTTAACACAAAAAAATTGAGCATAAGTAAAAAAGACATTCACCGGATCGACAAGTGTTTCTCAGAATAAAAAATGAGATTCATTTTAAGAAAAAAAATGGAGAAAAAAGTACAATGAAAAAATTTGTCTTTCAGAAAGAACCATATAAAATATTACTATTATATATTAGTTAGTGATGGGTGAAATAAGTATTTTAATAATATCGCGATAGATCTCTAGGAAGTATCACGATTTTTCGATATTTTCCTAATATTAAAAATTCAGATGGATTAATATTTTCGCTAAAAAATCAAATTTATCATGACTCACGATAACATCGTGTCAATAACTATCGCTAACGATTATTCTCACAATGTGTGGTATTTGATATTCATAGTTGTTGATAAGAATCGCGATATTGCCATAGCCGATAATTATTGTATATCCGATACTTATTGCAATAGTGTTAAAACATCGGTATAGCGATGTCTAAAAACTATCGATATTTCACAATAGCATGAAAAACTATCGATATTTCACGATATCGATCATTTTCATAGTTAAAAAATTTCAATCGATACTTTTTCCCCCCTTGTATCTTTTCCTCCTTAACCTTTTTTATTTTATTTTATTTACATAGAATCGAATTTTCCGATTTACCCAAAATAGCCATACAAATAACTTTTCTGAGCGACAATCACGTAACATTTAACAAATCACAAACTATATTCTAAAGAAGAAAAAAAATATTGGTTCAACCTTGAACCGAAATATGGATATCTTAGGAATTATAATAGGACGGAAATTTGCGGAACAAAATAACAAAATCGAACCACAGTATCGTATTTAAAATCACGAGTAATTCATTAAAAACTTGAACGCATCATTGTTCTTCCCCTGAAACAGCAGAAAAAAAAGTAATTCGAATCAATAGAATCAGTTCACTTTGATGAATCGAATCAGTTGATTTTATCGAAATAAATTTAAATTATAATGAATATTTGTCTCCTAAAATTCAGCTATTTTTGATTCACAGTGATGCCATGTCATACATAGTTAATTTCTTCTAAAACCTAAGAGATTCTTACTCATTCATTATTAAGGACTCAAGATTTTCCATTAAAAGAAGTCTAGGAATTCAGATAAAAATAAATAAATATAAAAAAAATAAAGCATTTCTTTCGTAGTTTCTTAAAATTTACATAATTATTAATTCATAGTTAGAAGTCTTTATATAAATCAGCAACATATACAATTTTACAAAAGATATAAATAAGTATATTTATTTACTTGAAAGAATTCATTAATGAGAAAGAATAATGCATTTTTTTTTCTATCGACATTAATTGAACGAAAAATAGTGATAGGTACCTTTTTTTTTCGAATTATTTCCAATTTTGAATTTCCTTAAAGCATTTTATTCGAATCTCGTGATTCGCAATGAGTGATCCAAATTACTGGATTCGAAATGAGAACTGAATCAGTTGATTCGAATCACTGATCCGAATCACAGGATACGAATCGCTGAATTGAATCATTGATCAGAATCATTCGATTCGAAGAGTGATTCCGAAACACATGATTGGAATCGGCGACGTGAATCACTTCATAAGAATCAGTTATTCGAATCACCGAATCAAATCACTGATTCGAATCAGTACCCAACTCTATTTGGAACCCGCTGCTTTGGTGTCGTTGGTGACGTATGACTAACCCTGCTTATTAAGGTGTTTATTAGCAGTAAAGCAGGTTGGTCTCATTATGTTTTTCTGCTAATTAAGGGTAATGACAATTATGGTCAGGCACTCTTTAAAAGTTGTAAAAGATTAATATCTTCTATCAAAAAATTTTGATTATGGTTTGTCTCTTCCTTTTTTTTTAACGGTCCTAAAGATGAAGTTGGCGAGAATCAGCCAAACAGTCTGATCCTGAGCATGAGAAGAATGGGAAGGAGGAATGCAGCGAAGTATGAGAGATGGTGATTGGATGAGGCGGTGTTGCATCCGTCTTTACTGTTGCATGTGCAAGTCTCCATGAACACATTGTATGTCCCCGTTCTCATAGTGCAGTAGTTCTCATTACCAGTTCCTTCGCCTGGGGTACCAAGAAATGCACAGGAACGAATGAAACGCCAATTGCCATACACTGAAATAAATAAATAAAAAAAATTTTAATTTATGGAAATCAAACAAAATAGTTAGATACTTACAATACAATGCTAACCCACTAATGCTTCCGTGATTATTATTATTGAATATAATTATTATTATTGACATTAATTATTATTAGTCTGATTATTATTGTTATTATTATTAGTCTGATTATTATTGCTATTATTATTAGTCTGATTATTATTGTTATTATTATTAGTCTGATTATCATTGTTATTATAATCAGTCTGATTATTATTATTATTAGTCTGATTATTATTGGTATTCGTCCCGCAGTGGACTGATCGTTATGACACGGTTCCCAGCAGATCACCGAAGTCAAGCACCACTGGCCTGCGATCAGTGTGCGGGTGGGTGACCACTTGGATTAGCCTGCGTAGGGACCGAGTATGTGCGGTATGGGTCCTCGTTAAACTGTTCTACTGTAAAGTGCTCGACTTCGCGTGCTGGAAGTCGGGCTACCGAAGTGGGGGTGCCATCCCCTCTGCAGAGGATCAGAAATTGTGATGCCATGTCTTCGGATCATTCTCTGGGATGTTTCCCAGACCGTCACCTATAGCCCATTGAGCAGCTCTAGTGCGACGTAAATGCTCTACAACAACAACAATTATTATTATTATATATACAACAAGATTTAGTGACGTCATGTCTTTACAAAGAGATTTGTAGTAGAAATAAAATCTATATTATATAAAACGCTAATACGTATGTATCAATAAAACCTATGATATTTCTTTCCTCGCGTTGGCAACAGTTTTCAGTTTTAATTGATAGGATTCGGCGCGCAAGAGCACGTAGTGAGCATCATAGGCTAATCTATATTATATAAAACGCTTAATACTTTTTAATTGATAGGCTTCGGCGCACAAGAGCACGTAGTGAGCATCATATGTCTAATCGGGTGAATTCTCACCGAATTATCAAAAAAATTCTCACAAAATTATCTTCATCGAAGCCGATGCTTTACATCCGGCGTTCAGTACTATTTCATATTGCTTTACAACACATGGTTTTAGCCCTCTGGTGGGAAAGACTTTAAAACAAAATTTACAACAATTACTTTTCTCAACAACTGAAATTTGGAATAGTGTGATTAAACAAAATATGTGAACTGTTTGCAATTTCAAATTAATATTGAAATGTACAGGTTTAGAATTTTCTACAGTGAAAAGTTTTCGGAACTTCAGTGTTCAGAAAAGTATACTAAAGCTAGACATTAAGAAATTATCCAATGAGTGAGCAAAGCGAGCATCGGATTGCGAAGCAATCCGAAATGAACTGCGAAAGCAGTTTCGGGGGTTGGCGAGTGTCAGCGAGCAGGGGGCAAAGCCTCCTAGTAAGTACTATTTTAATTAAACATTGTCATTGTAGCAAAAAGCATTATGTAAAGTAACAGTTTATACAACCATTATCAAATATACTGATTACAACCAAATAAATAAAAAGTGTTAAAAAATATACAGATATGAGTTATTCTGGGCTATCCTGAGTTTGTATTTATTGTCAGAACGCATTTTCAAAAAAAATAAAAATTCATTCATTTGTTTATTTCAGTATTATTTTTTTGTAGGAAAAATTATTTTATTATTATTTGCTTTAAATCAATAATTGAATTCAGAATGGCAACTATATAAATCCCAATCTAATAGATGCATAAACTATGATTTTAATCAGGGGGACTGCCCATAAAAATCGCTTAATATTTTATTAAAATTCCAACAACCTCGTAGAACTCTGATAGTTCATATTGATTTGGCACACCTTCATAGTCATTCTGCAAAGATTAAAAAAGTGTCACCTAAAATAGATTTCTTGACTTCTACAGCGCTTTTCAAACAGTTTCTTATTACATACCTGAAGTTCGTTGAAATAACTGAAATTGTAATAACAAGCGCCACATATTTTCTTCTTTATCAATAAATGTACATTTTTAATTTAACAATCAGACAGTCCTTTACCCAATTATTAGACGCACTTCAAGATTCTATGTAAAATCTTAATTATCAGATGATACTGTCTATACAGCTTTATTAGGTGATACTCTATACAGCGGTTTGCACTTGTTTACGTTCGTGTATCAATGGGTGAAATGAGACGATATATAATATAAATTAGACGATATATTATATAAATATAGAATATTTATTATATCAAGCATTATATATGAGTATATTATAATAATTCAGGGTGGCCACTCAAATCAGGTTTCAAACTTCCCTGATTTTCCAGGTAAAAATCGTAAAGTTTCCAGGTGAATGTGCTTTTTTTTTCCTCACAAAGTTCAGGATGGGTACAAGAAAAGTGTCAATATTATAAAGTATTTTATTTAAAATATTATTTTTTGATGTTATTTTATAATCTTTGACTCATGGGATAGAGTGCTAGCCAGGTCACCTTATGGGAATGAGGTGACGGTTCTCTATTCTTTGAGAAACCATGGGAGTTTAACAGAGTTATAATGAACCAAATGTTGATGCAAGCGAAGTATTGCTAAGTTGGTGGTATTTCAACTGTTTGGCAATAAATTTTCGTCTAGACGTGGGTATAACAGTTGGTAAAATAATTTTAATTAAGAAAATTAGTAAATAATTTAAATTAGTAAAATTAAGAAAAATCAAAGAAAAAATTCCAGCTTTTCCTTAAAAAATCCCTGATTTTTCCAGGTTTCTGTCCAAATTTCCCNTTAGACGATATATTATATAAATATAGAATATTTATTGTATCAAGCATTATATATGAGTATATTATAATAATTCAGGGTGGCCACTCAAATCAGGTTTCAAATTTCCCTGATTTTCCAGGTAAAAATCCTAAAATTTCCTGGTCAATGTGCTTTTTTTCCCTCACAAAGTTCAGGATGGATACAAGAAAAATGTCAATATTATAAAGTATTTTATTTAAAATATTATTTTTTTAATGTTATTTTATCATCTTTGACTCATGGGATAGAGTGTCACCTTATGGGAATGAGGTGACCTGGAGAGGTTCTCTATTCTTTGAGAAACCATGGGAGTTTAACAGAGTTATAATGAACCAAATTTTGATGCAAGCGAAATATTGCTAAGTTGGTGGTATTTCAACTGTTTGGCAATAAATTTTCGTCTAGACGTGGGTTGGTAAAATTGGTAAAATAATTTTAATTAAGAAAATTAGTAAATAATTTAAATTAGTAAAATTAAGAAAAATCAAAGAAAAAATTTTCGCTTTTCTTTAAAAAATCCCTGATTTTTCCAGGTTTTTGTCCAAATTTCCCTGATTTTTCCAGGTTTTTTCCAGTATAAAAAACTTCCCTGATGATTCCAGGTTTTCCAGGTGGGTGGCCACCCTGTTATTATATCAAATCATTAGACACACCGTAGTGTTTGATAAAAGTTGTTAATTATTTTTTATGTAAGCTAAAAGCTAACTTATGTTTTCTGTTAAAACTCCCGAGTTGCCATGGCAACGTTTTTCATTCGTCTTTTTGTGGAACAAGAAATAATCGTCTGAAAAATTACTATGTAAATAAAATGTTATTCTTTTTTTCTTAAAGTTAGAGTCAGATTTATTATTTAGATTAGAAGTAGAGAACGACAGAATATTTTACATTCTGATAGAGTCTCGTAACAGTGTTTTAATAATGACATGTTTTGCACCAGTGTATAGGCAATACTTTTATATTTAAACATACATGTAATGGGTTTTCACTCGGGAGAATTTTTATATAGTACTTCCTATTTGTATTTATTTTTGACCTATTGCATTAAATTGCTAATCCATTGATACAGGAGCAAAAGTTTTTTAATATTTTACCGAGTTTCGAATCCCAGCGGAAGCTGGTCCATTTAAATTCTGTTCTTAGTTCGCATAAAATAAAGTGCTGACATAAAATAACTTAAGTTGTATACGGATTATAGGTTAGAATACCCTAGTCATCGGGATAATTAGTGGGAGGTTTTCGTGGTTTTTTTTTTTCTCCCTCCATATAACATTCCATGAAAAAAAAAAGAAAAATCTTCCACCGAGGCTAGTTTTTTTAAGATCCAATATCTTCCGGGATGCAAGTCTACTAACATTGATAATCCTAAAAAAGTGCTAGTTATAAAATAAAATGTTCTTAAAAAAAGGATACCTTTCTGTCTTATCTTTTCGACTGTTTAAATATACAGTCCCTGGAAAGATTATTAGACGCACTGTAGTATTCTTTGTAAAATCTTAACTATTAGGTGATACTATAGAGCTTTCTTGTTTTTTATCTAACTGTTTACACTTGTTTACGTTAGTGCATCAATAGGTCAAATAAGACGATACATACTATAAATTTGACGATAAGATAAATTAGACGATGCATTATATAAATATAGAATAATTATTATATCAAGCATTATATATGAGTATATTATAATAATGAGATCAAATGATTAGGCGCACTGCAGTTTTTTAATAATGACATGTTTTGCACGAATTTCTATGCAATACTTTTATATTTAAACGTACATGTAATGGGTTTTTAATCCGGGAGATTTGTTTATATACTTCCTATTTGTATTTATTATTAACGTATTGCACTACAATATCAACCAGGGGTCAGTCAGGGCATTTTGTGAAAGGTCCGGTTTTTGTGAAATTGTGAAAAAAGTGACTTACATTCTTTCAACCAGGGTCCTGCTTTTATGAACTTGTTCAAATAGGGTCCGGTTATTGCCAAAAAACTTTTTCAAGGAGTTTTTAAATTGTAAAGAGACACAAGATTATGCTCAACACTGTAAAATTATAATTTAAAAAAAAAAAAAATCAAAATTAAGCAGCAATTGCTGCTACTATTTTAGAGATGCAACATACAAATATTTGGTATTTAGCCTTTACTACTTGAACGCAGAATATTCATTTCGGACGAATAAAGGAAGAAGCGTCTGCCGAAGACAAAACTTAATTCGATTACATCCATTCTTCTTGTTTTCTGTCCTGGGAAAAATTTATTCAATTAACAAAACAATAATGAAGATAAACAAATTTGTGAAGGGTCCGAATAAAAGATAAAATTATTTTTTGTGAAGGGTCCGTTTTTAAGTTAAAATATTTTGTAAGGGTCCGTTTTTAAGTTAAAATATTTAGTGAAGGGTCCGTTAACGCAGCGTACCCCAACCTTTTTATCACCGCGAACCTGTCAACGTTTGATAATTTTATCACGGCCCACTGGCGGGGGCGTTGATTGTTTATATTTTAGATAATTTTGATTTATTAATTTTATTTTAAGTGTATTTGAACATGCCTTCAAAATAAAATACAGTCACACCAAAAAATAAATATAAAGTGATTTAACATTTTAACTTACTAGAACGTTAAAATCACTTAGTCACGATCGAGAGAGAAGACGAAGTTCTTCATTAGCTCCAATGTAAATTTCACGCCGCACTTTCATGTTTTACTTATGATATTTACATTTAGGATGATTGATTTTTATTTGAATTAAAACTAAATGAAAGAGAAAATAGTTGCTGTGGTTTCCTTCTTTTTTACTTTTTAAAACATTAAAAAACTAATGGAACTCAAATATTTTTAATTCAGGGTATAAACCTAGGAATTTAAATTCAATTTCAATGTAATGGGTGGCCCGGTACCACTTGATCCACGGACCGGGGGTTGGGGTAACGGACCCAAATTTCCTCCTAACCACTAAAGCTGTATAGAGTATCATCTGATAACTAGGATTTTACATAGAATCAATCTTATAGTGCGTCTATTAACTGTAATAATATAAAGTATTTTTTAAAAAAAAGGATACCTTTCTGTCTTATCTTTCTGCACATGGATGCTTTAACATTTGGATAATGATCGAGCTTTACAGTATCACAGTCGAATATAGGAATGGTTGTGTTATCGAAAGGATCCACACACCTGGGATCAGAATCTGAGCGACACACCCAACATTTGATTCCCTCACCTGAAAAGAAGAAATCATACATTTCAATGAAATTAACAATTTTATTTTCACTTTTAAACCATTTTTCTATGACTTTTTTCTGCCGAAATTTTGGGATGTTTCGCTTTAGTTTCATGAAGGGTTTGCCACAGAAAAAAAAATTAACAAAATAGTTGCTTTTAGTAGCCTAAAACATGAAGATTTTATTCAAAAACTAGGAAAATAGCTCCCTAAATACGAACAAAAATTCAACAAAAATATGACTAAAATTTTGTTAATGACTTAATTGAATGAATTATAATGAATTAATACCATGATCCATTCAGTCAAGTTGGTGGAAATTATGATAAACGTAAAACGTTCTCCATTGATGATAAAATGGACATAATCAGAAAAATTGAAAATGGATGCAATCAAGTTGATATTTGCAGGGAATATAAACTATCCAAATCTGTAGTTTGTAACAAATGGAAAAATAGGCAATTAGTTATTTCTGCTCATGAAAAAAATTTCGATAGCAGAAAAAAGTTGAGAAAAGCAGATCACAAGGATGTTGGAGAAGCATTACTGAAGTGGTTCACCATTCGAAGAAGCCGCAATCTTCCAGTATCTGGACAAATGCCCATGAATTTGCTAAGCGATTTTATGAGGCAACTTTTATGTGCTCGGATGGCAGATTGGACAGGTTTAAATAGCGGAATAACAGAAATTCAGGAAAAATTATCTGAGAGTCAGGAAGTGTTTTCATATCTGATTTTGAGGATTGCTCATCACCTAAAAAATACAAATTTTTTTTTTGCACGCAAGAGGAAGAGTAATGAAAAATAACTTATCTTTTACTACTACATAATATTTTTAAGTCATTTATTTGAATGATGTGTAATAAAAGGGAGGAGTTTGGGAATCATTAGTTAAATTGCATGCGTAACGGATATAGTGAACCCCCGGTTATAGTGAACCAAAATGTCGGTCCCTTGAAGGTTCACTATAGCGGGGTTTGACTGTATT